AGAAGTTACATCTCCCATACTTTCTCTTCCGTTCCCCAGCTTGGTACATTCTTCCTACTGTATAACATTCTGTATGCATCTCAGCGTCACATATTGCAGCACCCCTGGCAGGTTTACCTGCTCATAACTGTACAGGAGACTAAGATGCTATGTAAAGGAATGCCACGATGTATTTCTTTTTTACATTTTTAATTAACATAGTTCTATTTGCTATTTAAACAGTGAAAGCAAACCTGAAACTCTGACCCTGCAAGGTTCTGAATAAGAACAAATAAAGACAGACTTGTATACTGGCAAGCAAGTTTTTGCATAGTGTATTTAGGCTATTGCCCAGGTATGACAGAAGAACAATGTTATAAGGTGCTTTTAGGGAGTGGGTTTAGACAAAGTTTTTGCTGGCCAGAGTTTGCTGTTGCCCATTTGCCAGACTGAGAAAAAAAACCTATGTAACTGCAGCCACAGAAGACCTCTTTATCAGTTTTAGGTGGTGGTTGACCATTTGCCACGTCGAACCAGTGTTTTTGCTTGAAGGATGAAAATCAGGTAGAGATTAGTTGACTTTGGTATTTGGCTAGTCATGCAGTTCCTGAATACAGACAACCTTATATTTGAGTTTGCCGTGGACTTGCAGAACGAGTTGCTGGCATTGGTGCATTGCTCTTGATACAGCAAAGTTCCACGGTGAGAAATAATCGCCCAGGGAGAGAAGATGAGAAAGCTTTCTGTGAACAACATAATTAGGTTGTAGCTGGGCTGATTCTTGCTTAGCTGCAGGGCTCCAAGTACTGTGTCTCAGCATTGCTGTTTATGCACCACTCTGTTTGTGCCTTGGAGATGAGCAGCACCCAAAGATGGCAGCAAATAAGAGGAGAGCCATAAAAACAAGACAGAAGGTGCCAATCACCACTAGCCCTCCAAGAGACCAGTCACTTGTTACAATCAGTGTCTTTAGGTCTTCCAGAACTGAGGATGCCTCCTGTACTGATGACATGCTGGCTTCCACCCTGCTGGAGGTAGACAAGAACAATATCAGATGTTGATGTATCCTCTCTATGCTCTGAACCATAGTCCTGAAACCAGTATCAGCATACATGCTGTCTGTGCCTGCAGGGCAAAAGGGAGAGCCACCCTTCACGGAAACGGGACCACAAACCAGAAGAAAGATAGCTGAGGCCAGTTTAACAATCAGATCTAGAGATGTAAAGAAGAAAACTTATGGCTTTACAAGATTTTGGCAGTTGAGATTTATTTTAATCATAGCTTATCAATATTTTTAATAATACAATATACTGTCTCTCCCAGCATGTTCAGTATGAACTCTTCATCTTTGTCAACTGTACGGCCTATGCATGAAAGACAAGTATTCAGTGAGAGAATTTGCTTCATACCATTGGAAGGATTGTTAAAAAGAGTTGGGCACTTAAACTTTGAGAACACACTGGAGACTAAATGAACACTATTTAAAAGCAAACACACACACAAAAAAAAGCAAACAAAAAAACCCCACCAAGAATAAGCGAAGATTTTCATGTACAACTTGTTGTTCCCATAGGGCTTAGAATAGTCTAGTTATGTAAAAGGTCTCCTGTTAACAGAGTTTGCTTTAGTAATGCTTTCTGTTACTCTGCAATAGAAGCATAAGTTTTCCTTCTGTGAAATACTTAAGTTCAGCAATAATTTAAACTCGGTTCTCAGTGGGTTCTACACACTTGCTCTTTCACTGATACTTTGCATAATGACTTGGATATTAGCTTTCTAAAGAACATCCAACATCTCTTTGCAAGCATCTTGTGGTTTTACTAAAGCTTCTCAAGGGAAAGGGTGGATTATTTCTCACACTGTCTCTCAAATATGACTGTGCAGATGTAATACAAGAAGGAATCTTTGTTATTTTTGAAAATTTGTCAATATTAAGGATATCTGCATCCTTAATATTGTAAGGAAAAAGATTACTCATGTAAAGCATGTTTCATCCTCAGCAAGTCACATTTGACTAGAAGCACAAGCTTCAGTTTGCTGAAGTTTTTGTTACTTTCTCAGCAGCCAAATATATTCAGTTCATGTATTGTTTTCCGGAACGATGGCAGATCACCATGCCCAGTCTCTAACCAAGAGGCATAAAAGACATGAAAACTGTCCTGCATAGCTTCTTTTGCCTCTAAAAAGGAGGCAGACATAGATATTAGTTCTGTAGACCCAAAGGCAGAAACCCTGCATGACTGTACACCCTAGAAAGTTCCTGTCTCTCTTGCTAACCACAGTTAATCTCCTGAAATAGGAGAGCTGTACACAATTTTATAAATACCTGAAGCTGTTTTGTGTGTAGTAGGTGGTTCTTCTGGTGCCTCCTCTGCACCCACTCCAAGAGATCTTGGCCTATGGTGAGAGACCCCCTTACTGCACCTGGGGACTTGTAGAGGGAATATGGAAGTTGCCTGTTTGTATTGTAGTAAATTATTAACAGCTGACTTTCCTCCAAAGGTGTGGCTAATCTAATCAAAGGCCTTGAGCCCAGCTGAAAAGACCCAGTTCAGCTGTTGCTCAGACATTTCTTCTCCATGGCTTTATCTACTCATGCACCTGTCTCAGGGCTTGTAAAGCCCCTATGTCCTCTGACTGGGGAAGGCTGCAGGTTGTGGTGGAGCGAAGAGGGCTGCTTTGACTGGATCTGTATTGTAAACTCCATTAGGATACTGCCATATCTAAATGAGACTGTGAACAAGACCGCCCTCCAGTCCAAACTTCATCATGACAGTTTAGGTGGATAAACTCATTACAGAGTCTTGCACTGTGGTTAGCTGCAATAAAACTGACTCCCTGTTGCTTTCTGAACTGAAGGACAACAGAGGGATGGTGCTGGAGAGAGGTGGGAGGTGAGGAGGACAGTTTGGTGTGTGAGACTGCATGTGTGTAAAAGGAAACCTGTTTTTTACAACCTAAGAAAATCACTCTGAAACCAGAGGGATGATGTTACAGAATAGAAGCTATTCCATTAAGTCACCAGTAGAACTTCAGCCACTTCTGCTGGAGAGGCTGGCCTGTCTCTTTTAGGTTCCTCAGGGTACAGGATTGAAGTAACTGTATTCCCTTGCAGTTTCTTCTAGGTTTGCTCAGGCTTTTACAACATGTACAGAAGTTGCTGTATTTGAAGCACTCTTGCCTTAATCTATGCTGTTCTGAATCTCCCTCTGCTTTTTTTGAAACAGAGAGGATCCATCCTCACTAGTGCTCAGGGTGTTCCAGGTCCCTTTATGTGGGTAATGATTGAAGCCAAAAATACAAAGGCTTGTGTGAGTGGTGAGCAGGGACCCAGATGTCATGTTTCTAGTCAACAGAAACTGAAGAGCTGCAGTAAGCTGAGGATTTGTTGGGAATCTTTCAGGCCAGCCTGATCTATTGCATGTAGGAAGGTGTCAGACCCAGCCCATTCCAGGCAAGCAATTGGCACATCTGAATACCAAGTATAGGAATAGTCCAGCTGAGTACAAAGCAGTACACTGGGCCTGTGAGGTCCAGGCAAGCATGTAGAAATTGGTCCAGGAATCCCTCCTATATGGGGTAGCTGCTCCTCTGCTCCAGAAAGGCACCTGAATTCTTTACAGAATTGCTTAATTTTCTCTCTTTTTTTTTTTTTTTTTTTTTTTTTTTTTTTAACAGTGCTGTGTTCATTCTGTTTCTAATTTAGGAACTTGCAGTGGCAGAGATAAGACAAGAGCTGTTTCTCTTGTCCCCCTGCCTGGTATCTGTCAGTGGTTTAACTTGTAATGCCACTGGGAAACATGTATTTGTAGCCTTTCCTGTTGAGATAAGGCCTGGCAGCTCGGTCCTAGTGACAGCAACCTGTTAGTTGTTGGTATTTTTCCAGCCTGCTCAGCTTCCTCCTGGCTGTTAGCACAGACTGGTTCCATGTGGCTGAAACATTTCTCAATGGGATTCTGTTAATTCCTGTAGCTGGCACTGTGTAGCACAGGCTAGGAAAGAAAGTAAGCTCTGTCCTTTCACAGATCTTGTGACTAAATTTAGACACAGAAAGGTCTGTTGAGCCTGTCTCCTGCAAAGAGGTTTTGAGACTTCCTATGCCACCTTGATTGCCACTTGTTTGCAAGTGAAATGAGCAAAGACATATCTGACAGAGATGTTAGTGTGATGCATCCTCTGAATGTTGATTAGAGTAAGTTGATGCCACGCTTGAGCTTATCCTACCCTATCATATTGGTTGGGAGTGAAATCTTTGGGACAGCGTAATAAAGGTCAGCGCATTGTTAGTCTTAGTGTAAGTGCATGTGCAGTAGCTCATTCTAGTGCAGTTTTCTGTTGGAAGTTGTCAAGTTAGGGCTTAGATGCTTACTTTTGAAGGAACATCCTCATCTTCTGCTGGAAAGTTTTTCTTCTTACTAATTTAAAAGTAACATTGGTACTTTGAGGAATTTTTTTAAAATTTTTACTATTCTCCATGTCACTGGCTGCAGACATAGTCCAATGTGCAGCAGTACAAAAATGCAAAATAGCTAAATGTAGTTTCTTTGTAAAAATTAAAGTGCATTAAATACATGAGAAGCTACTGATGTAATGTGCTTTTTACTGATTTGGGTGCAGGCATCAGAGAAAGGCTTCTTTATAAAGTTTTCATTTTTTGGTCCCTTCTGAAGTTTGAAGAATGTTTAGAAGCCCACTGTTATAAACCTGATGATTGTTTTCTCTCTAGCTAGATATTGGCTCTGGTATATACATATGTAATCCTTTTGACTCCTCTACACTTAGCAGTTGGAATACAAGAATAGAAGGTGACTTCACTTTCTGCATGTAACTTTTTATATCTTCTCATCAAGGTGGCTGATTTCACATCTGGGGCTGAAAGACCAGTGGTTTACAGAGTTAGGTGGAGGAGGGTCTTTCATTTGGCTGTCTGTTATGAAAGTCATGGCCTGTGCAACAGCCCTGTATTTATATAAATACCTTTCTGAAGTTCACTGAAGTGTAAACCAAACACATGCAGTGGCTGCAGCATGGAAAAGGGATTTATTTGCACTTGTTAACTTCAGCCATACAGCTCATTCCTGTCTCTGCTTTGTCACGGTGCCCATTGTCAGCTACTGCTTGTATACCCTGAAGTGGCAGTTACCATACTGTATGTCACTCATCTGAAATGCCTGTGTGTATGCTAAGAAACATACCTTAGGCATAATATTTATGTCCACTAAAATAAACTGCACATAGTGCAGGGAGTCAGGCATACAAGTCCCTCAAGTAAGGATAGGGATTTGTTCATCTCCTGTGACTCCCATGCTCTGTAAGAACTATTCACCTGTAATAAGCAGAAAAACAGAACCACACAGGGGGTGGGGAGGGAGCACATTTAGCAGCAGAATAATCAAATTAAGCCATAGCATTGGTGAGTTTTTCCCTTTCTGTTTACAAAGGGTATTGCACATCATCTGATTTTTCTCTTTGGCAATTTCACATTATTGTAACACTGAGGAAATAAAGCAGGAAGCAATTGTTACCAGCTGCACTCAGAGCCTCAGCTGGCGTGTCTCGATCACAAGGTCCACAATTTGTTGTTTTCAGCAGACACCTCAGCTAACATGTCTGTTGTAGGCAGCTTTTGAGAGAGCAGGTTTGGGCTTGATCCAAGATGTGCTGAGTGTGTGGACCTCCTAGTGATGTCGTGGGTTTTGCTACTGCCCAGCACCATCCTTCTGGATTAGCCACTTGTGAAGAGAGTAGGTGCTGCCTAGCATGTGGCAGTGTACGTGTTCTCTGCTTTGGTCTGTGGCTCCGTGCTCACAAAGGGAATCCTTGGCTAGCCCAGCTGAAGGGCTGTCATTGGGAGAGCATGTCTCTTTTCTCAGCAGCATGTGTCCATGCACCCCCACCCCACCCCAGAAGAGGGGGACAGTGATGGTAAAGTAGCGTTACCTTTGTGGTCGCACCACGGAGCCTAGTAGTAGCTGTCACAGAAAGAAGGAATTCCATGCTGTGATTTCTGGTCCTCTGAGTCATATTAATTAATACTGTTATTGCCATTTTCAGTGAGCTAGTGTAGACAGTCATTCCCATAGGACTGAATCACGATGTCCATGCATGTCCTTCATAGTAGGTTGTGTCACCTCTTGTTGTACTTCATGAATGGGCAGCTGGGCGGACTTGGATCTTCCTACGTCTGCGGTCAGGATGTCTGTCACGGCTACAGCAGCTATAGCAGCAGCAACTGCAGGCAATGATCATGAGCAGCAGAACAGTAACTGGAAAGAGAAGCAAAGGATATTGCTCCCTGGCATAGGAGAAATCAGTGCAGAATAACCCTATGGCTCCTCCAAGTTTGGTGAGCAAAAGAACAAACAAAGCCTGATTTTTTTTTTATTTTTTTTTTTTTCTCTGTATCCCATTTCCCTCCTTCTAAATTCCTGCTCCCTTGTATTAGTTATCCATTTAATCTAGACAGTCATTACCGGATATTTCATGATCATAAGAGCTATGTACCAACCATGTGGGGGTATACCTTTACCTGCCTAAAGTGCTGTTATTTCAGAGGATGTGTAGTAACTAAGTAGAACTGTGTGCCTGTCAAGGATGGAGATCCCAACTCTCCCCACATTTGTGTCAGAAGCAACTTGAGAGGATTTGGTTAGTCAAACTGGCAGTTGCGTTTCTGAAGAGTGCAATGCAGTGTACCCTTTAATGAGGACAGATATTTGTGACTGGGTTGGCTTTACTCTTTCTTACGTATTTAGCTTGACAAAATAAATACTTCAAACACAGGTGTTTGTTTCACAAAGCAGTGGCCTTACTTACTGTTACTCTATACGAGGCATACTGGTTGGTTTTGGGAGATACACGTTAATTTATCTGGAGTAGAAAAGGATGACATGATTAATCGCACAAAACATGTAAGAGTGCATGAACATGCATGTGTGTGCAAGTGTTACTTAAAGGTCTGGAGCTGGGCCGCCAGGCTACCGGACCTGTGGGGAACCAGCTGTAGGTATGAAAAAAATAAAGCAGCAGGTGTGCCTTTCTGAATTCCATCCCAGGGAGGAGTGTCCAGGCTGGATATACACCCTTCCTTTTGGCTGGGGGCAAAGTGTACCTCTTTGAGGAGGAGGGCCTGCGTGCCTTCCTGCTTGTTTTCCCATTGTCTAAACAAACTTCATGCCCCTTGATCAAGCAGCTGTTTGTTATTCCTTCCATGTCATCCCCACAAAGAGCAGCAGGAGGGATCTTGCCATTACCAGAGGAGAATAAATAGGCTCATCTGAAGCATACTGGCTTCCACTGAATTAAGCACAGGAATGACGCTCAGAGAATTGAAGTGTCTTTTGTGGCAGTGAGATGCCCTAATAATACCATTTGTTGTAAACTGTCCTATGCATCAAAACATTGCAGCAGCTCTGAGTTGGTTAAAATACTGCTGTTTAAACTAGTGCTTAAATATGAGAGCTTTGTTGCTTATCGTGCTCTGCATGCATGTAGAGATACACACTGAATATTAAAAAATTAACTAGAAATTAAACTGGCCCTCAGAGCACAGCCTGGAAAACAACTGCCAACACCGACCCACCACCAAAGACTGAGGAGCAAGCAGCCCCCACTGAAAAGACATTTCAACACCCCTTTGCCTCCACCAGTAAACTCACCGATAAACAGAACCACCACACAAAAGGACACAATCTCCACCGGGTCAGCCTTGGGCAGTTTCTGGAGCTTAAGGAGAAACTTCTCACCAATGGTTTGCATTTCCTTCAGAAAGCCTTCCGATGACATTCTGGCTCAGCCTCTCCAGGCTTTATGCTGTAGAAGAACCAAACAGAGAAAAAATCTTTTCACTGACTAATGCTAGGAAGCTGCTCAGCCCTCTTATAGAGCTGGTGATCACAAGGAAAACAAGTTTATCTGGTCTCAGTCCTTGTTCCCAGTAGCTAAGGTGGAGGACTATTAATTGTCTACGTGTTCTGGCACTGTTTTAATTTCAAAATCTGGCTTTGAGGCTGTTTTTGTCAGCTGCACTGTTGAACAAAGGCAAAACGGTGTTTCTTCTAAAAGGGCACTGATTTCAGCAGGCATAGAGTTAGAACCGGACAGTGCTTGCCCTTGGATTTTACCCGGTGAAAGTAAGATTTTTTTTTTTTTTTTCCCCAGTTGTGCTAACTTGTCCTTCCAGAAAGAAATGCAATTCTATCTCAACTTGAATTCCAAACGATGAACTCCAGTGGTACATAGCTTTCAGTTGTTTTAGGAAGTTACATGAAGTAGAGTCCCTTGAAGTCTTCTTGCACTTTCAGCTACAGTAAGCCCCTTCAAAAACTAAGGCGCTTGACTCAACACCTCACTACAATACCATTAATAATATTTTATCAACCAGTTTTACTGAATGGTGATATTAAGAGCTAAAGTCTGTGTTTGGTGGGGATAGCTGAATGATTTTCAAGTTCTTACAGATGACTGCAAGTTTTATATGGTAACTAAATGTAGCTTTTGTTCTTTTAAGCCACGGTATGTTCTAATTGAGCAATATATGAATTGAACAGTAGATGTCCAGCGATCACTGCTGGTGATAAGCAAAGCAAAAGCCCCTGATCTGTCAGGGAGATACCTCCCTGTGGAGCTAATCCCTCCTGCCCTGCTCAGTAATCTTACACTGTCTTTATTCTCAGAAAGAATGATCACCAGAATATTGTTACTTGAAAATATTATTAGTCTAGTCAAAGTTAGGTGCCTTAGTTTTGACTCCAACATTTGCTCTTCTTTTGCCCCATGAGCAGGATTTTGGAAGGCACTGCAACAAACAAGCTTGCATGAGAGCTGTGGAAGTTCAAATTTTGCTTGAGTCAGTAACTGGAATATGATATTGTTGAGAAATATCCATAGTTTCACCTAAAACAAGTGTTTGGACAGGTCAACACTTGGACCGATTATAACTCTGATGTCATTATGATATCAGAATGCACTAGCTTGTGTGTGTTGTAATAGTCAACGCTGTTTTATGGGACTTGAACAATGCAATTCTATATCCTAGTCTTGATGATAACACAAAGCCACGTGACCACGACAGTACTTCCAGAATAAGCCAGCTAGTTCATTACTCCACATCTGGTTTGGTTACTCAAACAAATGGATGCTTGGAGTTCAGTTTTTCTAAACACACTGAGGACATAGAGACCTTGGCTGTTTCTTTGCATGCTGGGCTTAAATACTACAGTGCCAAGTTAAATTACATTTTGTATGTTTATGCAATTCAAAAAGGGTTTTCTTTGTTCTTTTAAATCCCAACTAAGGAATAAAAATCGGAACCAGCTGGTTTCCTAGGGATAGGAGTGGATGGAAAAATCTACATCTACAGAATGATCTCTGTGTAACTTAGCAGGGAGGCATAGCAGTGGCCTTTTGACCTGGAAAGGTCACTTTTGAGACTAGGGTGAAAAAGTTCTTTCCAGATGATTGCTGTACCCCAAGTGAGCTGCTCCAGAAATGGCTGCTTTATCCTTTGTACAGTGCTGCAGGATTCTATCTCAGCAGGCTTCCAGTTTTGTTTCCATTCCAAGAGATGGTGGTGCAGGCAGAGGTGATTTGTGTTTTCTGCTCTTGGCTCTAGAAGAAACACTTTTTTTAAAAAAAGTAAGTATTTCTGGCTCCAACATTCTGAAAATGTTTGTTCCTTTTGGAGGTGTTTCTGCCTCTCCAGGAGCTCTCCTAGTAAGGAATCTGCTGTAAACTTTTGTGCCATGCTTTGGGCTGCACCACAAGCAAGAAGTATAAGAGCCAGGCTTCTGAAGTTTGGGTGTACAGTGTAAAATTACTGATTAGGATTGTAGAACTTCACGTGGATTAGCAGAGTGCCTAGCCTAAAATGATAAGAGCTTGTCTCAGTAATGGACATTCCTTTTCCCATGGTACCTGATCTGGAGCTAAGTGAAGGAGGTTTTATTCTAAAACTTGCAAGGAATGTTGCTTGTTTACCTTGGTTTGAACTTCTTCAGGATCAAAGTTTGATGGTGGTGGTGCAGTCGTCAACCTACCGGTGAGGAAGCAAATGTTTTTCCGTTCGACTTCACTTCTGACTGCACACTGGACTGAACAGCTCTTGCTGCTTTGGGATTTCTGCCTGTGAAACACAGCAAAAGAGTGAATAATAAATCATTTCTTAAAACAAAGGAAAAAAAAAAAGTAAAAATCCCCCAAGAAATCTAGTTATATTCATGGACTTTTGTATCTTCCATTCTACTTGTGATGTAAAGTCTTTGGTCAGGACTAGTTTTGATTGTGATCTTTTTCCAATTGATTTCAACAGAACCAAGATCTTACCCTAGAGATTAGCATAAGGGTAAGGCTAGTGCTCTGTGACTTAAGTTGTCTTAGGCATCTGCCTTATCTTCCTCATGTACAACACGACGGTGATGACATTACTTGCAAATTTCAGAGTGGAGCCGTAAGAATTAATAATTCCTTTTTATTTATTATACTGTGTTCAAATAAGCTCCTGGTCACCAACAGTAGTAAAGGCCATATTTGGTTGAAGCAGTAACTATAATTATTATTGTTAAAATGGGCAAGTCTTAAGAGATTTGAAATGTAAGGTTGTAGGTCTTAACTGACAGTTTACTTTCTAAGACTGAAGTGCTGTTCTAAAGCTTAGAACAGCCACCCAAGTTAGCAACCCACAGATTCTGTGGGCTTTTGGAACAGACATAATTGTTTGCCAGTGTTTTTCTCAATTGGGAATTTCTCCTTGCTCCTTGTCCTTCCTCAAAACTGCATCCCCTGAGGATGGGAACCCTCCAGAGTAGAGGAGACATGGCTGTTAGGGCAGCAAGGCTGATGGAACTTGTTACTGAAGAAAAGCTGAATGACTACAGTGCAATGTAGGCTTCATAGTGCCTTGTTAGACTAATGTCACGAACTTTTTTTTTGCTCCATAGCTGTAGCTAGAGATCATCTGAAGTGAAAATAGGGTGAAGAGAGGCAAGATGAGAAACTCGCATAGAAAAGAAAGTGAATACAATGCTGATGTCTTGCAACAGGCAGTTTAGAAGTTCCTGCTGGGGTGGCGTGGCAGCCTGAAATTCGTGGTTTCAGCTGTTTCCTCTTCTGGCTGTTCTTTAAAAAATAACTCATCTACCCAGTGTTGCCTGTGGGACTAGATCATCAATTCTTTCTGCCCTCCTCTGTTACAAGGCCTGGAAGGGGAGGGAATAAAACAAATCTTCCAATTTGGGTTTATTTCTTTTTGAGGAAAAAAAAAAGCTGAATCTGCCATGTGCCATGAGTTGTTAGCCTTGGTTGAAAAGAGGGAGCACAGTAATAATGCAGGGGGATGCCTGACATCTGCAGGTGTGCTGCTCAGCTGCAAGGATTAGATGACCCTTTAAATAAGTATGTCTGACGTTTAGGGCTTCTGTAGATTTAGATTCCCAGAAAGTGCTAATACTTGTTTTTAACGCAGATTAATCTTATTGTGCCCACTGAATAAAGCTGTGCAAATTACCATAATAGCACTGAAATTATCTTTTTGAACTGTTTTAATGGACTTATGCCATACTGAAGCACTCAGAAGAAGTTGGCAGCTCAGCCCTTTTAAGAATTAAGCCGTTAAAAGGCCTCAATCTAGACATTCAAGAGAAAACCCTTGGTCAGGGTTTCTTTGCACTGTGAACTGTCTATGTTTAGTAGCTTCCAGGATTGAAGCAAGCAAAAGAGCATTGGGATGACCATGTAAGGTGTAAGGTCCCACATCCCTCTGTCTGCTTTAAGCTAGTCGAGCTGCTGTAAGTGTGTTGGAATTGATGTAAATTGATCGGGTGTTTTTGGACTGACTTTGGTTTGGAAAGCTGTATCCTATTCATGTGTCTACATAGGTGCATCAAAAGTTGGACTGTAGGGAGTGGGTGAGCTTAAATTTACTGCTCAGGAATGAGGCACTTGTTTAGTCATAACCCTGGTGGCGTTTGAGTGGCCTGTTTCAGTGCAAAGAAAATAAATTTGAGTGTGTGGTTTAGCCCCAAGACTGGAATTTGGTAAATGCAGGCAGCCTTCCTGGCCTGCCAGTGATACTTACTGGTTGTATGACTTTGGATAAGTCATCCCATCCCTCTGATGGGTGACCTCATCTCTGCAAAGCAGCAGAATATGTAACCACCATCAGAGGTTTGTTTGCTAATTGTTGTGTGTTCAAGTCTCTGACGTGCTCTGAAATCTTCAGATAAAAAGACAGTAAGTCCCTGGTTTTGCTGCAGTTACAAAATGAAGTGGCCTTTACTTGCTACCTGCTTGTTACACTTCAGTCACTGAGCCTGTTTAGGATGAAGTAGATGAAAGCCTGGCTTCCACTCTTGGTTGCTCCTTACCCAGCCATGCTCCACAGGATTTTCTTTCTCTTGACATGATCCCAGCCCATTGCTTTTACTGTGTCCCCTTTGCAAATTTTTGTTTGAGTGGGTTTGTTGCAATAGTGATCTAAAAATGGAGACAAAGCTTTGTAGGGGGGAATCTGGTGGTGCCCTAGAGCTGCCAGTGCCTCTAGTCCCAACGCAGCAGGTCCCAGTGAGGGTGAGTGGGGTATCCTCCAGTGTGCCCATTGTCTGTATCAGCACTGCTCCAGAGGCCTTACAAAGTAGGACCTCCCTGATGTGCCCAAGCAAGCTGAATGCCAGGGCAACATTCTCATTGCAATGTTGTCTTTTTCCCAAGACTGTGGCTGTGAAAAAGGAAATACTTCGTGTTGTTCTTACTCAAGTAAGTCAAATAAGGTGGTGGAAACTGGACCAATACAGGGACAGGAAGCCTGCATGGACTAGCTTATTTGGTAGAAAATCTTAGAAGGCAATCCCAGCCTCATGGAAGGAGAGTGCTGAGCAGCTGAGGGCGAAGGGATGCTTTTTATTCTGGTCTAAAACTTTTAAAGAAACTCTTGCTGTATTTGGCCACTTCCTTAAGAACATGAAGGCTTGGCCCGTCTGTAAGCCTACCAGCTTTGTTCTTGGTTCCTGAAACGTGTCTGATTTCATATGGATAAGATCTGCAATGCTTCCTGTCCTAAAACAGTGCGGGGCTGCAAGGTGTTGTTACAGTTTAGATGCATTTTGGCAGAACATGTAATAATTCTTTTATGATTGTTTATTGTTCGAAGTTTGTAATGTATTTCTGAGATGAAAAGGGCTATAGAAATGTAGTTGTATTATCAGTGCGTGGTTTTCCCTCATCATTGTTAATGCAGTGTTTGCTGCCATGACTGTAGTTGACCAGCCATGTGAATCTTAACTATAGTTCACAGACAAGCCCTTTTTTCCTAAAACAGGAGCCAATGGAGCCAGACAGACCTATAATTCATTCCCAAGCAGATGAAAATAGTTTCTAGTATCAAGAGAATTCAGCCTTTTAACAGCACACACCCAAATGGGTAAATTGCAGCTCCATGTCATGGGAGAAAAGCTTTGACTTTGTCAGCTGGTCTGGAAAAGGCGGCCACACATTCTTTCAGATTATAAAGCTGCCCTGACTGGGTAGCCATTTGGCTGGAATACCCTGTCATCTCCACCACCCACTATTTGGAGATTGGTTTTGAGGCAGCACCATAAATGTTCCTGCCCTCCCCTACAACCTAATATTAGATTAATATAAAAAGGCACTGAATTCCCTGCAGTAGCAGGTTCAGTAGCTGAGGTACCCACTGGAGCACTGAGCTAAGAGTCTCTACACCTCTACAGAACACCCTGGTTTTCTCCAGTCCATCCCACAAACAAGTTCACAAAACCCCATGAGATAATTCCTCATTACTAGTCCCACTTCTAAGTGGGGAAACCAAAGCACAAAGCCATCCAGGGAAAGGAAAAGGTCAGTTTTAAAAATAAACCTGTAGCTCTTCTGCAAGAGAACTTTTTTTAGGGTTGCTCATGCTTGAATCTAGCCTGAAAGCCTATTCTAATATTAGCAAAATAACCATTTCCCAGGAAGCTGACTGAGAGGTAGCTGTGTGCCTGTGAAAGTTTTGTAAATAATTACTTCACAAACACACCGGGATCTATCAGTAGTTTGGTGTTTGAGGTAAGGCAGCTGGAGCCCCCGGGGAGTGCTGGAAACACCTCCATCTTCTTTCAGTCGCCTCTGTGCCCTGGCCTTGACTGCTCTCAGGCCTACAGGTCTCAGAAATGACATGCATTTTTGAGTTTTTTGAAATACTCTGGTCTAATCCTAGTAAAGATGCCACTTGAGTGTAGGAACTCAAAACTGAAGGCTACAACAGCTGCTTCCTCAGAAGAAGCTGGTTTGAAATCGTATCAGCTGTGGTTGCGCGGGGTGGTGTAGAGGGCTGGGCACTGCTCTCCTCACCCAGCTCTTGCAGTCCGGGCCGGCCAGCGTGCAGCTCTGCGCACTGGCCCACCACAGTCTCTGTGGTCAGGGATTTGTGTTACAGAGAGGATCTGCTCTACCAAATTTGGTTTATTTTGTACCTCTACTCCCATAACCGCTTCTGCATTGCAGTCGGTCTATGAGGCCCGTGCACTACGACAGCTGCAACACAGGCCGTGTCCTGCTTCTTTTATCCAGACATGTGTTTCATATTGCTTATTCCCTCCCGCTGCATATGTACAACACGGCTGTGGCTGGACAAACCCCCAGCCAAAGCCATTAAGATTTTCTTTTGGCAAGGAAAACTTGGCGTGCGTGTTTCTCCCCTCCCTCCCCTGCTCTTCTCCTCTTGCTCCTCCCTCTTTTTTTTTTTTTTTCCCCCCATAACTTTGTTTTTCACATACTTTATTTTAGAAATCATCTTAACTGCAACAAACAACCTACAGAGACCCTTCATTAGCAGGGTGGAAACTTCCCTCCATCCTTTGAACCTCGGGCTAGCCTGGAGGCCTGTGGGTCTTAACTAGTAAATCTCCCACAGGCAGTTCCAATTCAGTGTTTGTACAACACGTAGGTCAGAAAGACCTGCCCTCCCTTCCATGTTAATGGGACTGGAAAGAAGTGGAAATACCTGATCCTTAACATTCCTCCCTCCAGGCATGTGTAGGATCTAGAAGACCTCTTTCTGTGAGAATTGGCTTTCTGCCTCTTTCTCTACCTGTTTGTAAACAGCTGACTGCCTGTGCACCTCCTGGAAGGGGCAAGGGGTCCCAGCTCGGTGCCCAGAGCTGCGAGAGCTTCCAGAGTAATCGGCTTCAGATGGCAGAAAACAAGGGCTTTTATGGTCAGTCTCCTTGCCAGCCCCAGTACCCAGCAGCAAAGTGGAGATGGGAGCACAGGTTGTGGGACACCTCTCTCTGTAAAACCAAGGCTTGGACTTGATGATCTTAAAGGTCTTTTCCAACCTAAACGATTCTATGATTCTATAATTTCATGTATTTGGGGGATCCCTTTCCTCTTCCTTTCCTTCTCACTCCGTTCAGACCTGATGGTCATGTTGCAGTAAACCACAGACCACGTATGTGTATCTATGTGTTCTCTCAGAGCAGTGGTTTCTCATGCTGTTTTGAATAGTAAACCAGCATCTGTGCCTGATACACGATTCTTTTCTTAAAACGCTCTTGTTAGAAGCTGTGTAAAATCTATTTATTTCTATTGGACACAGATGCTTAACTTGCACAGTATGCTCGTTCCCAGACCAGGGTATGTTTTCCAAGCTCTCCGTTTGCTTCAGGATTTGGGGGATAAAACTTAGCTCCAGCTGGGAGGAGCTCTGGAGAAATGCTGTGGCTGGCACCCACTGGGTTTCACATGCGCTTGCCTGTGCTGGCAGCTACTGACCAATGGCACATCCACTACTGGTACAGAGGAGCAAACCCACTCTCTGGTCCACGCTAAGTATTAACGTAACAAGTCATCACTGTGGAGAAAGCTCTCTGCTAGACCTGCTTATCGGCTAAGGTCACATTCTGTAACAGCAACAGAAAAATGAGCAGACAGCCTTTCTAATCAGCAAAGTTGCTTACTCCCGCTCTGACTGGAAGCAAGGCAAGACTGCAGGCTGGCTCCTTTTGTTAGCACTCTGGCTGCAGCACAGCTTTCTGCAATCCCCTTAAAAGCTTTTTTTTTCTCGCCACTTTTGCTCCTGAGTGTCCCTCGCAAACAAATTCAGACTAGCAAGCTCTGCTCAATGGCCGATTCTGCAGTTCGCCATACAGAGAGCTACAAAAGCTCCAGCTACTTGCTAACTAGCTGAACGTTAAGGTGCTACGGCTGACCGAACACCAGCAATAGCTCAGCCTTACCCCAGCCGCGCCACGAACTCTGCTGCTCCTCTTGTTCTTTCTGTCGTCTTAAACTTTCACGTCATCTCTCCCCTCATCCTGGCTTGTGTCTCGCTCCTCGCTCGGCTCCAATCTGCTCTGCTGCTGACAGCCAGCTGTTGTCTCTGCCTTTTTTTTTTTTTTTTTTTTTTTTTTTTGTTATTGGTTGTCCCGGAGATTGGAAGTTTCGTGTTACATGTGTGCCAGAGAGGGCGGGCGGTGAGGAGGCACCGCTGCCAGCTCCCCGCAGCGCCCCGCTGCCAGCACTTGTTGCTGCCTTCCTCGGTGCATCTCCTCCTAGCAAGGGCTTTTACTTTTTTTTTTTTCCTTGAATTACAGCTTTTTTTTCTGGAGCGACACGTGAATTGATTCTCTCTTTGCGATAGTTTGGGGGTGTGTTAAAGCAATTAACTTTTCTTTATGCTCCCCAGTTTCCTTCCGACTCTCGGGGGAAGGAGTTTTTCTCGTGTTCTTCGAAGGGGCAGAGCAGGAAATCGCAAGGACAGTGCCGCATGGTCTGCCACTGACGGGAGCAGGGACGATGCTGCGGTGGCGAATTTGCTCTGTGCCCTTGGCCAAGTCATTTTGCTCGCTTGGTGCCGTGGTTTTTGCTTCTTGTGTTCTGGGGACAGCTGACACCCACTGTCTTGTCTCAGCACGTTGCTGAAGTTCAGAGGATGCAGTCCTTCAGACAGGTGCAAAATGATAATTTCTCATCAGCCTCATAATTTGCTCTTCTCTTTGATAAAGCTCATTAAATGGCTTTTGTTCAGCAACTGGCATCTACATAACTAATTTGTCTGTATATGATTTTTATCTTTTTTAATGCTTTAATTTCTTGGCTTAATTCCAAGACTTGCTGGGGGCTTTTTTTAGGGGGAGCTCTTCTGATGAGTCAGTGTTCCCTTCTTTGGCTCATATGAGGGAATGCTTTTTTGTGGCATATTTTAGGAGAGGCAAAGCTTCTTTTGGAATATGTGACTTTGTTTCTTCTCTGACTGTCCATCTGTTTCTACTAATTGCAGATACAGGGCTCCTGTTTTACCTGGTGTACAAAAGCAATGAGTACCAGAAGGAGGCATGGTGCAGGCAGCTGTGTGGTCAGTTTAGCACTTTCCTGAAATGTATTGCCACAGGCAAAAACATGTTAGTAAACTTGATTGTTGTTTGCTCTTCATTCTATCCCATGATGTCAAATCAGTGTAGGATGTCTCAAATGAAATAATGATTTTCGTTAGACATTTTAAAGACCAGTGGTCAACTCATACATACTCCTGTTAAGGGGTGGGGGAGGCAAAGAATAGAGTTGCATATTTTAAAAATGAAATTATTTTAGGACATGTATAATAATAGAAACTACCATTAATTTATGTAAATCAGATCTCCAACTCATGGACATTAGTCAGGCTCTCATGTGACTTGGGAAGTTTTCTCACCACACGTTAATGCATAACCAACTGTGTTTCAGGACCTCTTGTGTTCAATTAAGCATTAATTTGGTGCTTAGTCCCAGCATCCCTGTGGTAACTCTGGGTTTGGCCTTTTGACTTCACTTATACGACTGCAATCTTAGTTCTGCAACTGAACTTCCGTTATGACCCGACTCGTGAGCACCGTTAGCTAAAGTGGGGCTGTGGCCTCGATTTGGGTAATTCTGCAGGAAGGTGCAGGCAGTTACAGGAGGCTGGATGGAAAGGGCTTGGTTTTACAAGCCTGATGGGCTAGAAACTAGAACTCTAAATTCCAGTGGCTTCAGAGCTCATCTCTGCTTTCAGCAAAGCCCTCCCTTGGGGCATTAGGGGCAGGGGTGCACGTGGATGTCCCTCTCCAGCAGAAGCCTGGTGAGCAGGCTGTAGGGGTGAGGAGAGGGCTTGACCATTACTGTATGCCCCGGTTAACCCTAATACAGATCAGTGTGTGTGAGAGAAAGAGACACAGACTGATGAGAATGCCTGCCTGTTTTCTTTTGGGGAGACAAAAAGCTGACTTGCAGCTCGCTGACATTTCTATAGTCACGTTGCATTGGCAGGACAGGCAGCACCAGTAGCTCTTTTGGAAAGGCGGGACAAGGGGATCAAATGTGTTGTCCCCAGCCCGGTCCCCCCACCCTTCCCCACCATGTGAAAGGAGCTCTTTGAGAGCAAGACGGGAGTGAGTCAGTGCGGCTCTGCAGGGGGATATAAAGCCAGCTTTGTAGTAGCCCTCTCTAGGTTTTCAGTGCCCGAGACCGAGCAGTGTACCGTCGCGCTGTTGCAGCCCTCCTTACCTGAGCAGGGCCAGGTCCTTCCTGCTTCAGCACACACGTTTCATTACTATGGCGACAAGTCTGTAACCTGCTGCTTTGCTGCCGCACTTGCTCTTCGCTTGGTGAATTAACCTCCCAGGCCGTGGGAATGAGGCAGCCAGCTGCCGCCCTGCTCCCTCGCAGGGTCTGTTTGCGATGTGTTGGTAGACGTGCAGTTGTGTTCCCCCCAGACACAAACATGCACGCACACAAGTTAAAAAGCAAACTGCATTTGTTAGATCTCTGGCAAGTTCAGACATGCCTTAAAGGGTTTATAATAAGAATAAATGGAGTTCTTGCACTCTTACTTTTCCCCTCTGTTGACCCACTTTTTGCAGATGAAGTTGCTAAGCCAACTAGGGCACTTCTTGGTAGAGAATAAAAATCCCTACTTTGTTCTTCCTCACAGTAAAATAACTCTTTTCTAAAATAACGCTTGTTGCTGCTTGGCTACAAGATTTGATCTCTAAATGCCTGATGAAGTAAGGGGTTTTGTGTATCTAGTATCAGCATTTTGGTTAAGAGACAAAGAGCGGAGACTGGCCACCGCTGCTGTGAAACAGAAGTTTTAAAAAGCTCCTCTAAATTCTGCCTGCTTCCTTAAAAAAAAAAAAAAAAAAAAGTAACTGCTTGGTTCTTCTTTATCTAGTGAAATCAATGTTTTCTTCACTGGTATGAGTTAAGGAGTGTTCTAGAAGAGAAATTACTTCCTGCCTTTATTGTTAATGAGCAATTCTCAGTCACCAAACTCTTTTTTACATACTTAAAAACACTGATGTCTGCCAGAAATTTTTAGATGATTCCTGGAAGAATCTAATCATCTTCACATGGTTAGTTTGCTAAGGCTGGTAGAACTGGTTGTGCAATACTGTATGAACAAATGGAAGGGGTTTCATGCATGTAGGACTCTACCCGAACTTGGGCTGCTGATCTGAAGGATGTGTTAGCAGATTGAGACCCAAGCTGTTTTATCTGAGTAGTGCTCCCTTGTGACCTCAGTCTGGACTCTATTTCTGTGACTTAATTTACATTCCTGTTTTTGCAAATGTAGATTTCTTCACTTTCAAACTACGAACAAGAAAATTAGAAGCTCTCCAATGTGAAATATGCAGACGTACTCTGAAATCTGAGGTGTAGGGATCAACAGGGCCTCTTTACATATTTATCCTAGAGCCATTATGATTGGACATGGAATATATTTAGCCGATGATGCAGAATTAATAACTGCATGTTTCATTCACTGTGCCTTTTGCAGATCTCAGAGATCTGAAAGCATTTAGCAGAAGAGATTGACGCCACTGTTTGTTTTACATGTGAGGAAGTGGAGGCAGAGAGACCTTAAGCGAGGTGCCAGGAAGAGAGCCCCAGTTCTGTTCCTGGGCTAAACCCCTGTGATTCCTGCTGGAACAGGCATTCTCTGCAAAAAAAGACTCAAGTCCTTATCAAAAGACACCTTGCATTTGGAGGGTAGAGTTCTTGTCAATAAAAATAATTACCAGATCGTTTTACCTTTTGTTTCCTAGATGTCGCCACGCTGCCATAGCGAAGTACTTTGGCGATGTCACCCCACCTTGTAACAAGTGCTGTGATTACTGCAAGAACCCAGGAGCAGTGAAAAGACAACTGGAGTCGCTGGAACGCTGCAGCAACAGCTGGAGCAAAACCTGCATTGGGCCCGCAGGTTCCTCCTGGGATAGCTATGACCCAGAGTTGTATGAAGGCGGGAGGAGAGGTTGCAGAGGTTTTTGCAGGTCTGTACTCAGTAGCTCAAACTCAGCTCATAGGAGCTATCAGCGAGGAGAGAGCATCTCCCAGCTGCAGGCCCAGGCACTCCTGTTTATAGCACACGTTTCTGTGTGGTGGTATTTTCCTGTAACTTCCTGGCAGCAGGAGCTGGAATTTCGTTTTCCACGCACTTTGGCAGCCTTGATCACATTCATGTCCCAGAGAGCCAAAAGCTCTTTTGACTGACCTAAGAATTGCCCTGCAGAATGTAATTGGTTCAAGAAACTAGCCTGGAATTTTTTGAAAGCAGTAAGCGAGCTCAGCCTGTTCACAGTCACAAGGATCAAAACTGTTTCAGTTGAGACCAACGTGACAGCAAAGTATGACATGGTCCAGAGTTCATTCCTGACTTAGTATGGCTGTCTAGGGGCCAGGAAGGTGGGGGGCCACTGACAGGACTTAGTCATCACAGAGGATGTAATGGAGGGCCAGTGTCTGTTAAATTCTAGTATTTCTGTATTGGTTTGACAGCAAAAGGAAGTTGTGCAGTGGGAAACATGATTAATTCTGTAAAATGCTCGGGAGTGTGGAGATGACATCTCTTCCTCCTCATTCTCTGGCCGAGTTGCAGTGATTGTGCAGCTCTGTCAGGATGCAAGTTTTGCTGCCTGCACCGCCCGTGAAGGGTGCGCAACGCTGTGGGCTGGCCTAGCCCTCTGCTTTACCTTAAGCAGCTTAAGACTGGTAGCTTTGTTCTTCAGGCAAGTCCAGCTGAGTCAGAGGAAGCTGGTGTACTTGTGCCCTGAGCCCATGTTTGGTCTCAGGACCTGAGCAGACACGGCCAATGCTGTTGCACAGCACACTGACACTTGATTTGTTGAACATGTCCATGACTTGATTGTAGCTTTGCCTTGGAAGTTGTAGCAGTCAACAGCGTTAAAGCTCTGATTTGTAATACCTGTGAGTTTTGGCTGTGACAGCTGTGGAAGGGAGGAAACTCTTGGGCTACACCTGGTGAAAATCAGCTGCTGTGTTTCATTGTATTAGTGATGGGGATTTTGTTTAACACAACAGCCCGTGAACAACTGAGGCTGAGGAATGGGTGCTTTGCCCTTTTTGCCGTCACTGCTCCAAGGGCAGTAGTGACGGATGGATGTGGTACATGGCACAAGGCAGTGACTCCTCAACCCCAGGAGAACCTGGCAGAGCTTCTGCAATGGAACCCTCCATTCTCAGAGCACTAGTTATCTGATACTAGTTCGTGCTATGGTTTACTAGTTCATGGGATTAACAAATCCCATGAATTTCTGGAGGACACTCACTACTGTCCAGGTAGAGGGATGGTAGTGAAACTAAAAGCTAAGACTTGTTCCGAAAGGATGTAAAATACATCATCTTTTGTAAATACTGGAATGAGCTAGGCTTTCAAAAGCCTGTTCTCCAGTTAATGCTGCAGCTACAGAAATGTCTGTTCTTGTTTTCCTGCCTGATCCAGGTATGATGAAGAAGGCAGTGGGAATGGGGATGAAGCCAATGAAGAGAGTCGGAAACGGGAGTGGAACAACTTCTACAGAAAGCAGATGAGTCTGCGCAAAGTGAGTTGGTATCCCTTTGGAAGAGGTTCAC